TTAATAAATCCCAACAACTACGAAAACAAACAACAAAAAAAGATTATCAAAATGTACAATAAAAAGTGTTTACAAAAAAAGTTTTGAAAATGATTAGTTTAGCCTCGTGTGCGCCGACTAATGGTGGTAACAAGTTGGGTGTATTTTGTTGTTGTTGTTGCACTAGCCTAAGTGCCTGTATTATTTGTATTTGACGACGTCTATGAAGTCTTTATTGTGTTATCGCCAGTTTTTTATTTTTCATTTCTGATAATAGTAATAATAGTAAAATAAACCAATTCAAAGTTTATTGCTAAGGGGGCATACATTATTTTTTTTACTTGCTATAGCTGTTGTTGTTTGTATGTAGAGTTTAGGGGTCTGAAGTAGTCACGTTCGCTTTGTATGAATCACACACAGAGAGATGAGTTCAAAACCTTATAAATTGTACTATTATTATGTTGGGAGGTACAACACTTTAATACCCATAAAAAAACTGCTGTTGGAGATATCTCTTTATAAATAAGTATGTAGTAAGTATGTGGGTTTTAAGATGTGATTACTCCAGATAATGTTTGTCATAGGATTAGAAGAGAAATTATCTATTAATTTATCACTACTAATAAATAATATTCTCCACAACTATTATCACCCTTACAACAGCAATGTAAGGCCAAACGACCGACTAACAGTTTACAAATACAACAATTTAGAATATTTGACGACCCCTCGTTTGTTTGATTTGATTTTTGAGTAGTTATTTGTTGTTGCTGTAGAGTAGAGTGTAGTGAGTACTGCATGCGAATTGGGAAGTACAAACATATGTAGGAGTGTGTGTGTGTGTGCTTGCATGTCTGTCTGTCTTGTCATCCATCCGTCCGTCCCTTTGCTTGTATTTTACAGTTTACTAAGGTGCTTAGGTAACCAGGTAGCCAGCAGCTAACATCAAACAAAACAACAGTAACAAACACATGTGTGAGAGAGTGTGTATATGTTAGACACCGTCGCATATATGCTCGTATGTCGGCATTTGTGTGGTATTTTTAATATGGTCGTGTGGCTTTTTGCTAGTATTCGTTGCGTCTCGTTAAAACGATTTACCCGAGGAACCTGTCGATCAATCGTCAGTCGTCTGCTACAAGCCAAACGATAAAGAACTCTTACGTCTCTACTCACATACTCTCTACATCCATTGCGCCCTCTATATAGTATTTTTAAAACCTGGTGTATAAATTTCTTAAATCACACGGGATTTTTTTTTGGTGTGTCGGTATTATTTTTGCACATCCGTTAACTACAACTATCTGCAATCTCTCTCTATCTCGCTCTCCAACAACGTCAGCTGTGAGCAGCAGAAAATTTAACCTACTCACTAAACATTTATTACACTCATACTAAAATTGAATGGTTTATTAAAGACTTTTTATCAAGCTGCTTATAGAACACTTGTTTCATACGCTCGTTGATCGTTGAAGAAGCAACACACGCTGAAAATTAACAACGGAACGGTTTTAAGAGAATTATAAAAAAATTTTAGAAAAAGACAAATTTTTAAAAAAAGATTTAAACGTGAAATTACGTTAAACTTAAACGGAAATAAACAAAACAAACAAATAACTAAACAAATAAACTCAAACAAAGTGAAGTGTGATTACAAACAAATTATTAAGAAATTTATAAAAAAAAACTTATTAAAAAAACCAAATAAATAAAACAAAAAAGTGTTTTATAAATTTTTATTAAAAAAACTAAAACATCCCACAAAAAATTAAATAAAATGGTTACCGGTGTTTGTGGACCCACAATGACAGCCAATGTAATTGGAGCACCTATTTCACATCCTCCCAAGGAGACACCTGCTAAAAGCGATCGTCGTGTAAGTATTTTAAAAAGAAAACAAAAATGGTCAACTCCAACTTAATTAGTTAGTTAATGACAAGAAATTCTTAATACAAGTTAATAGCACCCCCACAGCTTGCCATTAAGTTTACAAAATCAAACAACACCAAATGTGGCGTCTGTGGTGGCTGTAACTTGTATCCGCTTAAGAGTTTCGCATTTTGGAACATCTGTGGGTAGTTAGTTTTCCCCCACAAGCCAGCCAGCCGCAGTCATACAAGGCAATATCACATCACAATAATAATTTTTTTTTGAAAACTCAAATCAACTAAATATAATAAATGATTTAATGAATGAATGAATATGATCTTATAGTGAAGTGAGTGAGTGGCGGCTGTGTGTAAGTGGTTGAACCCAAAATTGGCTAAAACTGCGGCGGCAGTAATAGCGGCCAACGCACTTCCACAAAAAAAAGTAAAACAACTTTTTGTTTGTTTTAAGTTTTTAATCAAACGTTTTTGGCGTCATTCTGATGTGTGGGGCAGCACCACTGCCATAAAAAGTAGTAAATGAAGCGTGTGTGCTTTTTGTTAAACCCCAACATCAAACAGTTGATTCATACTTAAAACTACATTCATTCATTCATTCATTATTTTATTAAGCCAAACAAACGTCCACAATATTTAGCCAACGCATTCCATGACAATTTAGTTTAAATGTAATTGGTTCATATTTTTGGTCATAAAATACTACGCGCCAAGTTTATATTTCTGATGACTTCACTTTTATTATTTTGGCATATGCATGCCAAGAAGATCAACAAAAAAAAAAAAAAAACCTACTCATTATTTTCTTTCTGAATTTATTTTTATTTTTTTCTACAAATAATAACGAGGCGCACAAAATCTCCCTATATGGTTGCCTTAAAATATTGCCAAAAAAAAATTTAACAAAAATTTGTTTTTGGCAACCAACGACCTTGTTCTTTTCATAAGAACCTTTTCGTTTTTTTTTTTTTTTTTTTTTTTTGTGAAATTTCAAATGTCTAATGCTGCTAAATCACATGCCGCTATTTGTGTAATATCTTTTTTTAAAATGGACCACATAGTTATATTGGCTATTTCTTTTGTTGTTGTTGAAATCACACGGCGTTTTGCTATTTATAAATTTTTGCTAAAACATTCAATGTACAAAAATATCGCACGCGATCAACAAATTTTCATATTGGCCCCGAGCCATAATTGTTTTGCTTACCAATTAAAGAGCGATCGTTTGGTTATTTAGCGTGTGCCGCCGTCGTCCTCGTTGTATACCGTTTTGCCATTAAGCACCCTCATTCGAACAATTGAAAACCCACCGCCCCTCTCTACCACTTCAACACACCCCCCTCCCTCCTTAACAGCAAACGATTTTAGAATTTATTTAAAAACAAAAATATAATTTGTAGCATCACCTTTGAGTTATTTTTATACGAAAGACACAAGAAATAATGCTTTCAATGTGTGTATGCGTGTGATGCTTAATTTAGCCGTTTTTTTAGTTGTTTCGACCAAAATATTTTTACACTAAACAAAAAAAAAAAAAAAAAAACACACACGCACGCATTTTGTTACTTGTTGATGACGCCAAATATTTTGGTGATGTGTGCGTCTTACAAAACTTATCGCCTGGTATGAGGTCAATTAGATTTCTTATTTTTGAAAATATGACTAAATATATTTGAGATATTTTTATATTTTTATTAAAAACTAAATTTAAACAAAATATTAATTTATTGTTTTTTTTCTATCTATTTACAGTCTAACAAACCTATTATGGAAAAAAGACGACGTGCCCGCATTAACAATTGTTTAAATGAATTGAAAACCTTAATCTTGGATGCCACCAAAAAAGACGTAAGTATTTTTTTTTATCAAATTAAAACATTTTTAAAAATTAAAAAAAAAATCAAAATCTCAAAACCTTTTTTATAAAACCCGTAACTAATAATTTATTTCTTGTTTCTTCTCTTTTTAGCCTGCTCGTCATTCCAAATTGGAAAAAGCTGATATCTTGGAAAAGACCGTTAAACATTTGCAAGAATTGCAACGTCAACAGGCCGCCATGCAACAGGCTGCCGATCCCAAAGTCATTAACAAATTCAAGGCTGGTTTTGCCGACTGTGCCAATGAAGTCAGCCGTTTCCCTGGTCTAGAGCCTGCCGTCAAACGCCGTCTCTTGCAGCACTTACAGAACTGCATTAATGGTGTCAAAACCGAATTGCATCATCATCAACGTCAAGCTAATGCCGCCTCAATGTCTGTACAACAATTACATGGACAAATCTTGCCCTCACCCCCCTCCTCACCCGAACAGGATCATCATCATGTTCAGCAACAACATCAATACATCATGAGCTCTCAGATACAACAAACTCCTCATGGTTACTTCCTGCCCAATGGTTTGCAAGTCATACCCACCAAATTGGCTAATGGCACCATTGCTTTGGTATTGCCTCAACAACAACAACAACCCCAAGCCAATATGAATGGTGTTCAACATCCACCCATGCTGGTGCCCATTCCCTCTCGTACTGCCTCCACCGGCTCTGCGTCATCTCACAGCTCCTACGAGCAATCCTACTCCAGCAACTCAGCCATGCTGCACTTTGCACCTCCCAGTCCAGCCAACTCTCATGAAGCCATGGATTACAAACCCTCAGTAATACATCATGCCCCCGCTCTACAGCAACACAACAATCCACAGCCTTTGGCTTTGGTTACCAAAAAACAAATCAAAGAAGAAGAACAACCATGGCGTCCCTGGTGAGAGGTGTGTGTGGTGATGTTAATGGAAGTTAACGTTTGCTTAGAACCAAAGTGTTTGTAGAGGACACCAAGACTTCTTCTCAACTCACTCTCCCACTCGCTGCATAACGGAAATGACTGGCATAATGGCTGATCATGAGAAATCATGCATGAGGGTCGCCACAACCATGGTCATTTTGGGGCAGTCTAACAAAAAAAAAAACGTCATCAAGGTAAACATGACAGGCGTGCTCAACACAACAGAAACTTGTAAAGAACTGGAAAAAAACACGCCGCTCTTACATACACTTACACGCACTCTTTCAAAAAAAAAAAAAAAACTACAAAGGCAAAAATTTTTTTATAAAAAAGCCTAAAAAAACAAAAGAAAAGTTT